CCTACTCCTACTCCTACTCCTACGTCTCCTACTCCTACTCCTACTCCTTACTCCTACTCCTACTCCTACTCCTACTCCTACTCCTACTCCTACTCCTACTACTACTACTACTACTACGACGACGACGACGACGTTGTTTCTTCTGCTTATTGTCGGGCTTCTGAAGCCCGAAATCTGGAACACTGATACCCCGAATGAAACCCTAAACCCTGCAGTCCCCCCCCCAAAAAAAACACACCTAGTATACAAAAACCCTTATATATATATAATATCTACTATATATATATATCCCCAAACCCCAAGAGTCCTCCTTACATAGGCGTTCTAAAACTCTAAACCCTAAACTCTGACCGCTCTCAGCGTCGGAATCGCAGTAGAGCTCCTCAAAGAACTCTTCGAGTTCCCCCTCGATGCCATGCTCCTCCAGGAGCTCGTGGGCCTCCCAAAACCCGTCTCTCTGCACTGCTGCTGTAGGGCACGCCGTAGGGGTCTTTTTTTCCGATTGCTGTCGGATCTTCTGTGAGCTTTCTGAGTTTAAATCTGCTTTCTCTTGGAGGTTGCAGCTCAGGATTTAGAGGGGTAGGGTTCCGCGGCTGGCGTTTAGGGCTAAAGTCTAGTGTGTGGGGTTCATCATCATCGTTCTGGATCTTGGGTCGAGGGCTCAAGGTGAATCTTTTGGCCTGAGCTAAACCCTGAACCCTATACCCTAAACCCGAAACTAGTGTTGCGTGCAGGCCACCTTGAAACATGACGTTTACGAACGTCATATAGGGGCCTTAATGATTAGAATAGGGGTGCATGGTATCTCATACTATAACTACAAGATTGAACCCCCCCCCCCCGAAAATAGTCTTGGAACATCTTGGAACTACTTAGGCCCTTATATTGCTTCAACTTATCGTATACTCATACCGCTGACAATTAACTAATTTTCCTGACGCCCACACTACATCCTAAACCCCTGAAGCCAAAACCTTATAGAAGCCTTCAAAGGAGCCCCTAAACCCTAAACCTTCAAGAACCTCTGAACCGCGGGAACCAGCAATGCTGCCTTTTCAAACTTGTTCTCGAGGCCGCAATCCTCGAACTCCCGTCGGAGCTTCTTGTGCTTTTTCAGGTCCTGCATAGGGCACATAATGTAACGGCCTTAATCATTAGAGTAAGGTTTTGGGGTATATACCATAATTATCATAAGGAAACCCCCAAACTAGTATGGGTATTTTCTCGGGACCCTTATGGCAGGGTTTTGTGGAACTTCTTTCTGTAGCTTTTCGGGTACTGAGCGCAGGGTGTCAGGATTTAGGGCTGAAGCCCTAAACCCTAAACCCGAAACCCTAAACCTCAACCCTAAACCCTAAACCGCTCAGCAGCTGGGTCCCTTTTGGCTTCAGCCCCCCCCTCCCGGAAGGGGAAGGATCCTGAGGCTATGGCGGCTAGGACCCTCAAAGAAAACCCGAAAACCCTAAACCTCAAATCCTAAACCTCCACCATTCCTACACGCTGAGCCTTAAGCCTAAACCCTAAACCCTAAACCCTAATCCCTAAACCCTAAACCCTAAACCCTGAGCCTTAAGCCTAAACCCTAAACCCTAAACCCCTAAACCCTAAACCGCTAAACCCTAAACCCCCTATACCCTAAACCCCTCAACCCTAACCCCCTATACCCTAAACCCTAAACTCCTGAACCCTCAATCTGGAGTCCATGCTTCGAGGACTTGGGTCGAAGCTCACCAGAATCAGCCCTGGACAACACCCAGTCCCTGAAAGCCCGTTCAGGGTTTAGGGCTTAGGGTCTAGGGCCTGGGTTCAGGGTTTTTTTGGGGGGTTCAGGGTTGAGGGCTTAGGGTCTGGGGCCTGGGCTTAGGGTTTTTTGGGTGGGTTTAGGGTTTAGGGTTTAGCCACTTTTCAATGAGCCTATCGAACCATCCGTCTCGGGGCCAGAGCCTACACCCTAAACCCTAAGCCCGAGACCCTAAACCCGGACACCCCGAAACGCAGACTTCGTCAGATCCTTGAAGCACTGGAACATCTTCTTGTAGCCTCGCAAGACTTGTCCCAGGTCCCCGTTGTAGTTCTCCTCGGTTCTAGGGACCCGGCTTTGGCGGGGCTTTCGGGGCGGGTCTGGGGTTTAGGGATTTAGGGTTGAGGGGTTTAGGGTTTAGGGTCTGGCGTTTGGGGGGTTTAAGTTTAAGGTTTAGGGCATTGTGCACTTGGAGTTTCAGGCTGGCTAAGGGCGGCTTCAAGTTTAGGCCAGTTTAGGCTCATGGCTCTCAGCTCGACCATCTTGTGAGGTGCTCCCTTAAAACCCACCCTTACGCATACGTATTGTCCCTATCATAAAGCCCACGGAATAGTGTGGACGGCTTCCGTGCACGACCCGCGACATGCTTTCAGAGCCTTTTGGATAAGATGGCGGCTGGTCGAACAATCATGATCTTGCTCCCAGGAATTTCCATGAGTCCAGCTTCAAAACTTTCCTAAAGGCCCAAGTCTCAAGGATTTCAAGGATCTCCATCGTCGCATCGTACATAGGCAGGATCGCTTCGCTCAGCGTGTCCCGGTTCACCTCCCTGTCTTCCTGTTCGCTCTCGACGTCTTCGTTGTAGCACTCCTGGGTTCTTTTCTTAGGGAATCGAATTTCAACTACCACAGAACGGATCGATCGTAAATAACATCGTCTCCTTACTATGATAGCTTGAGTTAAATTCCTCAACAAGAACCCGGCTGCCTCCTCGGAGCTCTCGCTGTAGGCTTTCTTCTTCCTCCGGGGCTGGATCGGTTCCCCCTCGTCCGAGTCCTCGCCCTCAAACTCGCGCTCGATGTCCATCCGCTCGCGCTCCATCTCTGCCAAAACGTCAGGATCTTCATCAACTTCCTCATCGTCCTGCATCATGACCATCTGTACTCCTAACTCCTCAGCCCAAAGCCCTTAGCCCTAAGACTACCCTAAACCCTACCATTGCATTCCTCGTCCGGAAGCTCCTCAATCTCGACCTTCTCTTCTATCGACAGCGGTTTCTCCTTTTGCAACGGGGTGGCCTCAGGCGCCTCCGGCACGCTGGCCTTCCTGAGTTCTCGATAAGGAGCTTAGGTGAAGCTACCATGATAAGGAAACCTTGTTATGTACTAAGCAATGTACCATAGATCCCTAAACCCTAAACCCTAAACCCCTAAACCCTAAACCCTACTAACGGTAGCTTAAAGTTATCTAAGTTCCTGAACACCCAGAGCCCAGCTTCCGATGGACGATCTGCTTCTTGCGCTTGTGCGGGATGCCGTCGCCCTGCTGGTGAGTTCATCAGGACAGAAAAGCGTACACTTTCAGTTCCAGAAGGGATCATACTATCCCAAAAAGTTTAAAGTGTACTCATGCAGCTACTAAGCCTGGATCCTTCCCGCGGCGTCCACGGACAAAGTCACCTGCCACACGTAGCCCTCGGCCCCCGGGGGAGCCTCACCCTCGAAGGTGATCTCCTGGGCTTAGGGTTTGGGGTTTAGTGTTTAGGGTTGAGGGCCTAGGGTTTAGGGCTTAGCGAAACAGGTTTAGGGTTTAGGGGGTTTAGGGTTTAGAGTTGAGGGGCTTATTATAGAGCTTAAGCTACCTTATACGAGGGATCGATAATGAAGAATCTAGAGTTGCCGTAGTCTGGTACTAGGGATCTAAAGTGAAAGCATGTGGGTTTCCCTACTAGGGTAAGCCAAAATTCGACTAAACTCCCTGTAATACGCGAACTTCCTTGTTTCGGGCAGCTTGAGAACCCTAAACCCTAAGCCCTAAACCCTTAACCCTATCGACGCATGGGATATATATATATATCCAAAAAAAGGTAGGTCTTTTCGGTTACAGGTAAACCCTAAACCCTATACACCCCATAACGAAAACCCGGGCCCAGTCTCCCAGCGGCCCTGCAAGACCGAGTCGTCCACGGTGGGGAGCCGTTGCTCTGGGGCCTGGAAGCCGTCTGGGGCGATGGTCCCATCCTCCGGGTTTAGGGTTTATGTAGGCTTTAGGGTTTAAGGGTGTTATTTTTAGTTTAGGGTTTAGGGTTTGGGGTTTAAGGTTTAGTGTTTAGGGGGTTTTTGGGCTTAGGTTTATACAGGGTTTAGAGTGAACGGTTTAGGCTTTAGGTTTTTTGGGTTTAGGCTTTCTGGATTAGGGCTTAGGGCTTTTAGGGTTTAGGTTTATAAAAAGTTCAGGGCTTAAGGTTTAGGGTTTACGGCTTTTAGGGTTTTGGTTTATCTAGCGTTTAGGGTTTAGGGTTTAGGGTTGTGGGGGTTTAAGTATATATATAGGGTCCAGGGTTTAAGGTTTAGGGCTTAGGGCTTTTAGGGTTTAGGTTTATATAGGGTTTAAGGTTTAAGGTTTAGGGCTTTGGTTAGGGGTTTTTAGGGATGAGGTTCTGGTCCCATCCTTCCACACGAAGATCTCGCAGCCGACGCAAGCCTCCATCTCCTGTCCGCTCTGAGTGACCCCCTGGGTGCCCACCACATCTGCCTCTCTTCTTCAATTAATAACGTAGACCCTAAACCCTAAACACCAAAAAATATTCAAAAATTAAACGGCAGATCAAAATATATCAGCCCAAAAACTTAAAAGTTCTCCCAAATTGGCTCTCTAGGCTGCATAGGTATCTGCATCCCCCGGGGCCCGGCTCAGGGAGACCAGCGTCAAGCGATCCGAAGGCGTCTCCGTCTTCCCGCTTTGGTTCACCGGCTTCTTGGTAATGCCCGTGATACCGACCACTCCATCCGTGATCTTCGTCTTCACCGCCGCGATCATGTTCCCTCGCCCCGCCTGGAAGTTCTGCCTCTTCCTGGGCTATTGGTTAAGGGTATTTTTTCTAGGCTACCAGAAAAAGAAAACCATATATCATAGCTTGTTTGCTATGGATCCCTATTGTGGTAACTTGAATTACAAAATCCTTAGCATTATGGTAGATAGGGTCAACTACTGTAGGGTCTGTACACCAACTTGCATATTAGACCCAAGATCCGGGGTCCAATGTGCAAAGTTGGTGTACCACAACATAGCAAACCAGGGCAACATGCCCGGGAGGGCTGTGGGAAGGCCTTGACCCATCGCGACGCAGTCACTGATGGGGTGGGGTGCGTGGGGTGGTGGGTGGAGGGGTGGCCCACAAGACATGCGGACAAAAGGGTACCTGGCAAAACCGACAACACATGCGGGGCACTTGCAGGGTAGCCGAGTAAGGTGACCGACAGCGACAGGACATGCAGGGCAAGTAGGTCGGGCCTACGTTTCGAGGGCTTCGGGCACGAGGTTCGGGGTTGGCTTCGCGGGTTGCGTTTGTGACTCTGTGGCTGCAACATGTTCTCTGTTTCAAAAGGGCTCACAACTTAGCGCATTTGCGTGCTTCTGCTGGAGACACACTGCACTCTCCAGTCCCCGTTTTGCTCCAGTTTCAGCACCGTGCTGCTCTCTTTCTTGAAGGCAGTCGCAAAAGCATGCAGCCGATCTAGCGGACCGATAATGTGTTTGTTTTCACTTCGCGGCGGTCGGCTTCTAGTATATCGTAGCACAACATTAAATATTTGGATACATCTCAGATCTGCTGCATGGCTCACCCCTCAATTCTGCGCACTTTCCGCCGATGGTCACCATCTGCTCGATTTCGTTGAGAAGAAGGGCCTTTACGTTCTTTTTGATGTCGAGCATCAGCAGTTGATGCAAAAAGGCACAGATCGACTTGTTGCCATGTTTGGACCGAGTGAAGAATTCCGGCTTCGCGTCTGACGTTTTGTCAGTGTTATGCTTCGTTTTATGCTTCTCCCCGGAGCCGGTCTCGGCCCGCAAATGTGCCAGCGCCTGCAAAGTCAAGTATTCGATTCAAGCAACTAGAGTAAGCCCGGGGGATCGGTAGCACTGGTGCCTGGGAGCTCTTCTTGGTCCATTCTTGGTCTGCACACATTTGAAGCCATCGCAGCCACCGCCGCCCTCGGCAAAGTGTTGGCCCAATGTGTCTGGCTCCACAGGCAACAGAACGAAGCTTGTCCCGTCACACAGCTCTGGCTTTGTGCCACTGCAAGGTCATGTCTCAAACGGTCGTGCCAACGCATGGCCTTGCTTTCTCCGAGTTTGCGCTTGAGGCCTGCGTCCACAGGCTTGCGAGGCGGCAGCTTCTTGAGGAAGATGGAGCGCAGCTTGCGGCCGAGCTCGCACAGGATAAACTGCGTCTCCACCGGGCAGACCTCGCCCTCTTCCGTCAAGTAGGACTGCATGGCCTCCTGCAATTGCGGATAGTCCTGGAGCCAAGCGCTCAACTCCCAGCGGTGGCGGTTGATGACAATGGCCTGCTTGCGCAGCATGCGATGAATGTACTTGAGGTTCACACGGCCGGGTGCGGCCGAACCTCACCAGGTGCGTGGCATGCCGGCGAGCTCGGAGAGCAGGCAGCGGGCACCGGGGCCCGCCAAGACCAGCTTGTCAGAAGTGATTGTGCTTCCTGTCGCATAGAGTGTCAGTCAAGCCCGCATAGGCATTCAAATCAACAGCAGACTTGAGCGGCGTACCTACAGCAAGCGAACAAGGAAGGGTCTGACATGCCAAGCCGACCTAGGGTCTAATATGCCACCCGTCGCATCTTAGACCCCAGCTCTTCCGATTACAATAACCCATGATTTCAGACCCTCTAGTAGCTGAGGGTATATGGTAGCTTGGATTACTAAAATTGCGTATATAACAAGAGCCCAGCTTCATGTCGTCAGGGTCCATGTACTCCATCTCGTCGCCCTCGAAGGCCTCCGAGCTTCGGCCTTGGGTCGTTTTGAAGACCACGCTGTAGATCCCCACGTCGGGGACCTGGGGCTTTCTTTCTTTGAAGTAACCAGGAAAAAGGTACAGACTTGTATATTGCTTAAGGGGCTTTCACAAGGGCTCCTTTAAGGAAGAGGTCCTCCCCCCCCCCAAAAAAAAAGGCATGAGAGTATTGCGCTCCAAAGCCCAGGAGCATAGCGAGTCTGGATCTCGGTGATGTGCTCTCCGGGCTCCAGCTTGAACTCGTGCGTGTGCTGCTTCTGGTCCCCTTTCTCCTCTTCGGGCCCTCAGAGCCCTCAGAACCCTTGGGGCTTGGGGTGGAGAGGCTTCGGGGTTGAGAGGGTTTGGGCTTGAGAGGGTCTTGGGCTGCTTCTGATCCCCCTCTCTCCTTACCGGCATACACGAAGTAGATGTCGGCAATCGCGTAGTGGATGTTGATGCGCGCGGCGGAGACGGCGCCACCCCCGGGCTCACTTTGGGGCAGGCTGGGGCAGCAGAAGGAGAGCGTGAGCCCGTAGGTGTTGAGTTTGTTGCTGGAGCCGCCGTTCGGCTGGAGCTGCATCTTGGTGCACTGCACGAAGCTCCTCTTGTCGATCTGAAGGAAGCCCTTCTGGCCTTCGACAGATATGGGCTCCACGAAGCCGAAGGCAAAGCAGTCCTGCCGGCAAAGTAGAGCGTGGCACCCCTTGACCCTTAAGGCCTGCAGATCTGAAAGCCTGGAAGACGGAAATCCCAAACACTCCAGACCGCCAAAACCCTCTGCCCTAGACGCCGCCGCGGGGAACCGCTGGTAAACCCTGCTTCGGGTTCAGTCATCGAAGTAAGGGGGAAGGCCTCTTTTTTTGCAATTAACTCCAAAATTCAACCCTAAACCCTAAACCCTAAACCGAAACCATGCATCGATCTACGGCCCCCGACTGGAAGGTCTGACAGGACGACGCAGCCCACCACCCCAGGCACCGAAAGCTGTAGACCCTTGCCAGGCCCCGCTCGGAGGATCTTCCCTTCGAAAAAAACCGCAAAGAGCCGGAACTACTATTACTACTATTACTACTATTACCACTCTTACTACTTTTACTTCGTTTATAGAAAGCAAAAAAGCCCCGAAATCCAGAAAACGCCAGGATTCCCTGGACCCTGGCCTTCGGCAGGTAGTCCATCTGGAAGTCGAAATCCGCTGTTGTGGCACCGCCACACTTCTCATTCCTAGGCTGGCCATTAAAACCTTTGCGAAATATTCGTAGACCAGACAGGACAGATCCGAAAAATGTGCAAAACAAACAGCCCGGCTTCGCATAGGTGTAGAACGGGTTAGCTCCGTGCTGCTCTTCGATGGCGATCTGCATCTCTTCCTCACTAAGTGAGGAAGACTTGGGGGCTTCGCAAGCTTTACAACCCTGAAACACCTCCAAATCACTGTGTAATGTTGGCCGAGGTCTTTCGAAGCCATATTAACAGTTTTAGGGTTTAGGGTTTAAGGGCATGCAGTGCCAGAACTCCCTAAACGACTCGCTTGACTCGCTGCTGTTGTTGGGCCTTCGCTGTATCTGATGCTGCTGCTTGCTTGATTACTGGTCCCCCGAGCAGATGCTAAGGAAACCCAAAGGCCGATCACAAGACCTTCATATGTACGTGTAGATCGATAGAAAGATTACAAGATAAACCCGAAAGCATTAAGACGTCTGGTCGTTGTCCCTAGGTCCTCCTCGACCGCGATGTGCTCCTTCTCCTTCTCCTCCTCCAGCTTTCTCCTCGCCACGCGGTCCTGCCAAAGGCAGAACCGGTCCGTCGGGGTTGGGGCAGGCACAGGCTTTTTGAAATGTCCTCTGTTTGAAAAAAGGCAACCAGAAACCCTTAAACCCCAACCCGTACCGTAACCCTTGTAGAAGCCCTTACAGTAACCCTGCTTGCACCTCGAAAAAAATCCCAAATCCAGAAGCACAACCCTAAACCCTAAACCACGAAATCCGAAGCCCTAAACCCCTAACCCACGAAACCCTTAGCCCTAAACCCCTAAACCCCTATAAACCCTAAACCAAACCACCCCCTTTGGCCTGCAGCTTGTTCGAGATGGTGTCGCGCTCTCCTCCGAGGCGCCAATCGTCTCTTTTAACGCGTTTTCGGGGTTGTGTAGCGCTTTTGGGGGGGGCGATTAGGGTTTGGGGTTTTGTGGCCCTTTTGGGGGCTGTTGGGACGCTTCAAGGTTGTTAAAGATTCTTGGGATTTAGAGACGGATGCTTCTTGTGGCTTCAGGTTTCGCGGGGGGGGCCCAATGTGGGACCAGAACTTTCAGCCAAGAAACCCGGGCTTCTTGCCAGGGTTCAGGGCTTAGGGCTTTTTGGGGTTTCAGGGGCTTAGGGTTTAGGGCTTAGGGCTTTTTGGGGTTTCAGGGGTGTAGGGTTTAGGGCTTAGGGCTTTTTGGGGTTTCAGGGGTGTAGGGTTGGTTTAGGGCTTAGGGCTTTTTGGGGCTTCAGGGGTTTAGGGTTTAAGGTTCTCAACATGAACCCTGTTGTTTGAGTGTTTCTGAACCGGGCGTCATAATCATGGGTAATGCAGACCCCTCCTGAATTAAACCACCTGCTTTTGGCGCCCTACTATGGCCTTAATACTAAGATCCCTGCTAAATCAAGGCAGGGGTATGCATCAGGGGTTTAGATTTCCGTCCTTCAGGACCAGGATGAGGGGGACCTCTGGGGATAAGGTCCCGATTAAAAGTGCCAGAAGTAGGTTTAAGAACAACTTTAAGCGGTCTCCCTAACACTTCGTCGGAGTCCTTGCGTGATCTCGGGCTTCTTGGAGATCTCCCGCTTAAGCAGCGGAGCCTTGCCGGGCAACACGAGGGCGCCTCCTGCAATGCAAGAAAAGATCTGATTCAGCTTAGGGTAATAGTCACATCGTATGAGAATTGAACAGAAGGTAGTGCTAGAGGCAGTGGCAGCAACAGCGGCAGTGGCACAGCTGCGGCAGCGGCAGGGGCAGGGGCAGGGGCAGTGGCAGTAGCAGTAGCAGTAGCAGTAGGAGCAGCAGTAGGAGCAGGAGCAGGACTTCTGGTAATGGTGATAGCTTTACAAACATCGCTACCAGCTGGGGCTGTTCTTTATGCTACTGCTGGCATTGGCGCTGGCATTGGTATTGGTATTGATATTGGAAGGGAATACTTTTCTGTCCCTATTACCACTACTGTTGCAATCAACAAGACTAACGCAGTACCAGTGCCGGCACTATCGCCGATTATTTATGTACGTATGTACGTACGTACGTACATAGGAATGTATGTTTGTATTTATGCATGTACGCATGCATGCATGCAAGCATGCATGTATGTATGCTTGCACTGTATGCATGTATGCATGTATGCATGTATGCACTGTATGCATGTATGCACTGTATGCATGTATGCACTGTATGCATGTATGCATGTATGCGAACACCAAAACCACTACGAGCTCAACCCAAAAGCCTAAGCCCTCAACCGCTGAGCCCGACACCCCAAACTTGCAGCCCCCAAGCCCCAAGCACCCCCTGTAAACCCGAAAAACAGGCCCTCAAAAGCGCATAGAAGTCCTCTAAACGCCCTTCTAGAAGCCCGAAACCCCTAAATCCTAAACCCTAAACCCCCAAAACCCTAAACCCTAAACCGCCAAAACCCTAAACCCTAAAAAACCCTCCCTCCCCCGGCCACCTCGGGGATCCGAAGTCGCTCGCGCCAGGGAGGGGGGCACTCCAAGCGCCGGAGCGGCAGAGTCAGCTGCACCTGGGAGCAGTCGAAGGACTGAGGCTTCAGGCTTTTAGGGTTTAGGGTTTAGGGTCTACTGTAAGGTTTAGGGTTTAGGGTTTAGGGTTTAGGGTCTACTGTAAGGTTTAGGGTTTAGGGTTTGGGGTTTGGGGTCTACTGTCAGGTTTAGGGTTTAGGGTTTAGGGTTTAGGGTTTAGGGTCTATGGTAAGGTTTAGGGTTTGGGGTTTAGGGTCTACTGTCAGGTTTAGGGTTTAGGGTTTAGGGTCTACTGTAGGGTTTAAGGACTAAGGTTTAGGGTTCAGGGTTTGATGTTTTCATGGGAGGCTTGAAACTTGGGTCGATAATGGTCCTGCCTACAGCCCCCATTATTGACATTATGACATGACTATAAAATGTTACTATACTGCAATCTCCAAAAAAACAGAACAAGAAACCAAATATCATAATGGACCTCGAAAACCTGTTCTAATTCTCAGGGCCCTATGTTAGGGCTCTGGGCGCGACTACCGAGTTCCCTGGCTCAAAGAGGGTTAGCTTTTGAACCGTGAAGGAGTTTGGGTTAGGGTTTGGGGTCGGGTAGGTTATGTAAAGCCAGAAAGGATGATGTCTTGATTTGATCCAGGGTATAAGACCCAAAAGGGTCCAGATCACCTACTCAGCTTCATCCTGAATGCTTGCAGTGAGAGAGGGGAGGGGCCCTAAACCCTAAACCGAGGGGAGGGGCGCCAGACTGCTCTTTACTAACCGCTCCGATTGCTACACCTTGAGCGTAAACTCTAAAGTCCTAATCCCCCAAAGCTCAAAACACGCCTCAAAACCTGCAACCCCCCGGCAAAAGCCAAAGCATAGAACACCGGAAAAGTAGAAAAGCTACCCCTAGATCCTCAGCCCTAAACCCCATCGCAACTATCCCAAACTAAACTCTAACAAGAACCCTACACCCTAAACCCATACACCCTAGACCCTTAACCTCTAAACCCCCAAACCCCCAAAAAACACCAAAAAAGAGAAACACACCCACCGCGAGCACCTGTCCGGGCCCGATCGAGGCTGGACGGTGGGGCCAGCTGCGTCTGGTTCCTGAACGGTGGCTTCTCAAAGGGGGTTTACAGTTCAGGGTTTAAGGTTTAAGGCTTGGGGTTAAGGGTGCATATTTTGGCGCCTAGGGTTTAGGGTTTAGGGCTCAAGGTTTAGGTTGGCAGGAAAAGGCTTTTATCAGGCCTCCGGGGGTTTTGAATTTAGGGTTCGAGGTTTACAGTCTAGTTTAAGGTTTAGCGCTTGGGTTATAACAGTTTAAGGCTTATGCCTTGGTCGAGGTCTTAGCAGAGGGTGAGGGTGACTTAGTAGGGCCCCAGAGGGCTTCCGGATTCAGGTCCGGGCATAATATAAGGGGTCCAAGTTTGGACGGGTTCAGGTCCTAAACCCTAAAACTCTGAACCCTGAAACCTTAAACCCTAAAACTTTAAACCCTAAACCCTAAAACCTTAAACCCTAAACCCTGAATCCTAAACACCGAACTGTGGCCCTAAACCCTACATCCTGGCTGTGGCTCGTCGACGGGTTCGGGTCCTCTGGCCTCAGGGGTTCCATGTGTGTAAGGGATTATGCGCATCGCAGGACCCACTGACTTCTGTAGGCGCCGCTTCTTCCTAGCACAGTCCAACAAAGTACCATTTATTTGTGTGTGTGTGTGTATGCATTTATCCGCCTACCTATCTATCTATCCATCCACGTGTCGATCTCGCGCTCTCTCTCTCTCTGCAGAATCTCTCTCACTCTCTCTACAGAATCTCTCTCTCTGTCTCTCTCTTCTTCCCCAGGGCGTAGGGGACTGTTAAGGTCCCCCGGCCTATTGGCCCCCCATATGTTATGGGGCTTCGAGGGGACAGTGAAAAGAAACACGGATCAACGTCAGAAGGACAAGCAATTACTATTTGGGAACGCTGACGTTTATCCCCCTCTCTCTCTCTCTCTCTCTCTCGCTCTCTCTCTTCACCCGAAAAGCAAACTAGACAATCTCAGCTGCTTTCCCAGCTCTGCGACAATCGCGTGGTCACCGCCCATGAAGACGTCCACCTACAGGCTTTTGGCATCAGGGTTTGCACGCCGGAATTGGCCTTCAGGGCTTACAGCTCTGTACTTCAACCCGGATTTCAACCCGGCTTACCCTATACCTCAAAACCCTACAAGAAACGCCGTTTTGAAAGTGCCTACGTCACCCCACACCCTTCTTCTTTGGTGTAAAAGCTCTTCTGAGTTCTTGAACGCCGTCCTTGCCACTTCACAGGGCCTGTTCGACGATCTTTACCCCTTTCAGGTGTGTTCCTTTGCTGTGGACCGGGGGTCTTTCTTTCTTTGGCTGGATTTTAAGGGTTTGAGTTCTTACCTTTATCTTGAGTCATCCCCTAAAGCCAAACTCGACCCTCAGCTCCCCATGTAGACGCCCGACACCTGCCTTGCTCTTCACGAAGCCGAAGAATTCTCGGTAAGAAACGAGGTGGTCGCCGGACTCATCCATGGCCTGTGTTTGCGTCCATCGGCGCACGCGCACGTTGCATGTTCCGAGGGTAAGCTGAAACCCTAACACTCGGCTTCGACACCGAAACCAA